TTAGCCTTGCTTGGAGAAAAAAAAAAAAAAAAAAAAAAAGAAATCCCCAAATATCTTACATTTCACCTTTAAAGGGAGAAAGATACCCTTAGAGACACTCCCTTGGTTTAAAGGAAGAAACGCACTCAAACATGATAGGCAAAAAAATAAATCTGGAGTTTTTTTCTTTAAATTATTGCCTAACCATATCTACTTGCCTAGCTCAAACTAAAAGGCAATAAGAATTATGCATCATTAATGTTTTTCTACATTTCACATTTCACCCTTCAAAAACATTCCTGTGTGTCAGAAAAAGAAATATTGCCACTAAAATGCTTAATTCTGGCCTAGAGGCAGGATATGATTTCTTTTTTCGTGGAAGAGAAAAAAATTGGCAGGTATTTTATAACACAAATAGATAAAACTACCTAAAAGTCAGCTCAACAACTGTATTTCTGCATCACACCCAATTTAACCAGCTTAAGCATTTACAGAGATTGGCTGAACCTTGTAACAATCAAAAGCTTGAAGGGAATCACTGCATTTTACAGATCTGAAAAAGGAAGCACGTTAGGTGATCTTTCCTGCTACAGTGAACCTACAGCAAAAATGGGGGAAGAGACCAGACTTTCTGATGTCCACTTACATGTTCCAATCGATACAGAAAGTGTTTCCAAATATCCACAGATTACTGTCAATCTTAAAAACTGGATGGTGACTGGGCATGGAAATTTTAAATATATGAGCTCATAAATTTTATTGTTTAATACAGCTCTGCCAACAAGCTATGAACTACTCAGGCATGCTGGACCAAGCAGCAGTCTGCAACCATTCCTGGGATCACCACGCTGGGCAACTACGCTTTGTCCAAACAATTCTTTATTTCCTATTTATATGGGAAAAATTACTACCTTGGTTGAATCCCAACCACAGCATGAGAAACTGGAATCCACAGAGAAAACGACTACCACAGTGAACAGCTACTGCCGCTGGCAGTGCCAAAAACAAAGGGGCTTTGCTGCCATCTTATGTTTGACAGACAGAAATACATGCTTGTGCCACAGCAGCAGGGAAAGCACCTGCTTATGAAGATCGCGCAAACATCACATTCTAGCAGAAACTGAAACCTAGATCTGATGTCTTGGCTCATGCAACACTTCCAGATGAGAAGTGTATCCAGGACTTGCAACTTTTTAAGTGATATGTGAACCCCCTTTTATTGCTAGCTGCAAACACAATCCACATGCTTGTCTTATTTTCAGCTCTTAACACTCAGCGAGTTCAGCTGGTCTAAAATCCCAAACTGAACATGAGACTGTCAAGAGCAGATTGGGGATTGAATTCCTAGGCACAGTAAAGCACCACAGTGCTCTGGACTTCAACATCACGTGCAAGGTGAAGAATAGCACACAGAGATGTTCAGAAAAATAACAGCAGAAACCGATGTTGCCTGCAAAACCACGCAGCTGCAGCTGGTTAACGTAGGCTCTCCCTTCCACTTTTCCATTACCTCAGATGGTCAGCTTCCAGGTCCCATTGATGTTTGCCCTGAAGTCTATTTGTCATTTAAACAGTGGAAAGCTAGAATTAAATACTGTTGTTTGTGTAACTCATTTTGTTTGCCAGAGAAGAGGGTATTCATTGTAATAATGGTGTTTGTCTCACTCCCGCATTCAGCTACAGACGCAAAGTGATCCATACAACATGTTCCACGGAGATGCAGAACCATAACTGTGTTACAGACACAGAGCATAAGCCAGACCTAAGCCCCAACTCAATACACTGCTTCCAAATGCAAACCCAAACTCTACAAGTCGCTAGCATGTTCAAAAAGGGACTGGGTGGGATGGAAAAATCACCATTTATCATAAGGATTGATTTAAGAAAATGAAAGGACAGCCAATAAAATATCTAGGAAAAGTTAAACAAGAAACAGAGATTTTTGCTCACAAAGGGCATGCATCTACTCAGGAGATCGGTTCAATATTAATTGTTTCCAGTTATTACTTTAAAATTATCCCAAGATACTGCAGAAGCTAGAATACAATTTTGGCCACTAAAAGCAACCCACTAAAAACAAAGGTTAAGTCTAAGAGAAGTGGGTGTTCCCTACAGGCGTTAATTCAATGAGAGACTGCATGAACAAATTATGTTGTAGGTGCTTGTATCTATTGAACGTTATATTGAACACTGACCTCGGGCAGTTCTAATGTGTAAAAGAGCTAATGAGATTGCTCTGACTGCATGTCATGCAGCCCAGAGTGGGTTAAATAAATCATTAAAAGGCATAAAATATAACAGTCTTTTTAAGTAAAAATTCTGGGCCAAGTTAAACACAAGAAATTTCTATTTGCAGTAGGAGCTGATGTAGCTGTCTGCAGACTTGGGCCTTTCTAATAGAGATTAAGTACTGCAGGAGAGCTGTACTGAGAAAACCACGTTTCATACTTTCAGGTAGACCTTCCTTCCTTCAGCCTGTATTATGCATATCAGGAGTAAAAAAAAGCATAGAAACTTATACACATGCTTTGATTTGTTTAAATTAAGACTTACTCATAGGTGTCAGCTCTGTGTTAAGAATCTCGTAAATCCCACAGAGAGCCAGTGGGCAAATAATACTGTTGTGTGGAAGATAACTTGTTGTGATGAAGGAGACTAAGGTAACCCATCTCCTGACTCAAGATAATTACAAACCGAGCGCTGGTCCACTTGAGACTGCTACTGACATTATTTACCAGGACACCTATGATATTCATTATCTTTAATTACATATACTTTGGTAGCTTCTGGTGGGTTCTTTTATCAATAAGTTCCTAACGTACTTTGCAATGGAAAAAATATATTTGAAAATTTCACAGATTCACAGCATAGTCTAGGCTGAAATGGACCTGTGAAGGTCATCTAGTCCAACACCCTGCTTAAAGCAAGTCCATTTAGCTCAGGTTGCTAAAAGCCTGTCCTGTCAAGTATTGAGTATCTCCAAGGTTGTATATACCACAGCCTCCCTGGCAATCTGCTCCAGTGCCTGGCCATTCTCCTAGTAAAAATGTTTGTTCTTATATTTAATAGGAATTTTGCACATTGCAGCTTGAATACCGTCACTGTGCACCTCTGAGAAGAGCCTGACTACACCCTCCCATGAGGGAGCTGAAGAGAGCCATAAAGGTGTAATACACCTGGGTAATGTGAAAATACACCAAGACAAAAGGGAGATACAGACTGCCTCACATAAGAACGAGTAACAAGGCTGTCAGGCATGAAGAGAAAGTTCATTGATGGTAAATTTAAACTTACTTAGTGTTTTCAAAATTTGTTACATGTCCTCTTGTAGCACAAACTTAGCAATATTTTGGCAGGAAACAAACCAGAAAGAACTATGGGCATACCTGTGCATTTCCTCGCTTAAAGAATGCATTAGGTGATTATTTATAAGCAGGTAAAATGACAGAGACCTACCCAGAGCTCTAGATAACATCTCAGTTTACGTGCCTGGTTTTATAAGACGTGCCACTCATCCTATCTGATGTTTTACGGCATGTATATAAGACTCAAAAAGGGACAGACTTTAGCAGTGAATCATATAGCACTTCCCTTTAATGGTCTAGCAACAGAGTATGATTGACATAGTTTCAGAGAGATCAATGAACATTTTAGCCAGAAGCTTACTTGTGTCTAATGCAGGAGCAATAACTTTGCTCAATTCTGGTAGTGCTGTCTATACAGAATGCCCTGCCCTAAAACTCATCTGCTACTGGGATACAATCCAATGTTTATTTCCATTAGTTTAGCCATTGTTGGTAACAATAAAAATCAGGAGACAGTTGCAAACTAATGATTTATGGGCAGAATGAAACACGGGATGACCTTGGCTGCCTTCCATTCACCAAGAAAATGACTGGTAGTTAGAAATAAATTAAAATTATTGCAAAAGGATAACATAAGTTATTTCTCCGATAGGTAATTTTACCAGCTAAATAGCCCTGTCATTAAACTAGCAGCTGTTGTACAAATTATATTCCAAGATAAAAAAGAAATTATAGCTTCCATAGTTGTTGCAGCTTTGAGAATGATGAAAAACCCAATTCTATAGGAGCTGGCAGAAAAGGAGCTGTTGTGATAAGGCTGAATACATAGTCTTGGCTGGACTGTACTCAGCTGAATGACTCTTACGAAAGTTAAGCAGAAAAGATCATGTAAGTAGATCTATTATCAGAAATGGAAATTCCTTTACAGGTGATTCCAGAGGAAAAGAGCAATCTTCCCTGACTGGAATGTGCATTGTTAATAAAACTTTGGAACTTTGTTTTGCAATTTAAGTTATTCTGATAAAACAATACCATCAGCAATATACTCTGTTCATATTTTTGATAGTAACTGCAGTGAGACTTTTTTACCTTTTACCTTTACCCATTTTTAGAAATCCCTGTTCCTGTAATTGTTAATGTTTCCCCATGTTTTGTGAAGTCCTGTACAGCCATCTCATCCCTTTCAGTATTTTCTGCCTTGACTGCCCTCGTGCTCTGCTCGCTCTTAATGACTTCTTTCTTGGCCAAAGGAGAATAAATAAAACAGCAAACTATTCAAACAGTTTCTGTGGGGTACTACAGAGAACAAAGCGGTGGTCCGTGCAACTATAATTTATAAAATATATTCTGGTTTTCAGATGTATGGCTAGCCAAAAATCAACATCTGGAAAGAGTTTTCGTGTTTGCAAAAGTACGTCTCCAATGTCATTCAGGAATGGAAATGTACTTTACAGTTGTGATACCCTATCACTGCTCAAAAAAAATATACAACTGACAAAAGAAACAGAATTCAAAAAGTAAGATGAAGGGAGGTTGCATCTTTCCTGCTTTTATTTTTTTAAAGCAGGAACTCCATTTTTGCCTATCAAGTGTTAAGTACCAGCTTCAAAATGGGAGGGCATGGGACTTCTCAGAGAACTGGCCATCAATTATTTTTGTTTTAAACCCCAAACAAAACAGGATTTTTTTTTTCCCAATTCCTCTTCAGAAATAATGAATATTTTGTCTGAAACTTTCAAAATAATTTCATCTGCAGAACATGCCAGACCTTGAGAATGTCAATCCCAATTGCGTGACAAGTGGCAAAGCAGTAAGAAAATGAACACAGGATCTCAGAAAAGGAAGTGCTGGGAAATCTGTCTAAAAGAAATGTTTTCAGCTCTGTCTATAATTAGTAAATAAAGGCAAATCACCAGTGTGCTCACAAAGATGCAGCCTCAGGGTGAATCAGTATCTACATCCACTGCTGGGATGTAGACAACCATGGTGGCTTGCCATTCTTCCTACCTGGGCTGGGACTGGTGTGCCCCAGCATGTATCTGAGGCAACAGGTCAACCTCTATGGGCAGCTCCCAGCTATCCCATCTGCCTGTGCCAGAGGCAGTACCACACAAACAAGGCAAACTGGAATCCCTCCCTGCCAGCACTCCAGACCTGAGAACAGCCAGACTACTGTAGGCAACTCTTCACTCAAAAACACAGACACGCACACTTAAACTCCACAAATGAGCAATCCTTTAAAAACGTCAGGAAAGATGATCAAATGTAAAAGAAAAAACCTGGCAGAATTTTAGATGTTAAGTACAATTAGGAGGCATTTTTCTCACCAGATACTGTACACAATGTTAATGTGAATATTATAATGCTGACAACTTGTTCTTGACTGAATTATGAAGCCATTAATTTACGAAGGAAGGATGCAGTGCTTGTGTCAATGTCTTACGTTGCTAACTGTAGCAAATTAGTACATTTACCTCGTATTATACAGCTGAGACGTTTGTTTGGCAGGAAGTCAGGACACTAAAATAAGAGGGATTAGCACGCTGTCATTTTTCTATAGTCCATATTTTTCCATAGCTGGTGACACTTGAAAGTTAGGAGAGAACCTGCTCAGTTTTCACAGATTTACTCATCTATCAATGCAGTATTTCTTTGTGCTTGATGCACAGCTATGCTGTAACCATCAGAGCTTCGCTTAGGGCTACTATGCTCAGACGTATTGCAAGCCAGGCATGCAGATAAGGAGTACATGGATCAGAACGGAGAGTGGCAAAAGCTGCTCCTGAACCCCACTTGGGATAACAAGCCCACCTTTACTCAAAGACTGCAAGACAGTAACACCGAGAATTGTTTCAAGATTGAGTGTTATCTGGCTGCATAATACATTTCCCAAAAACGAATGTTTTCAGATTTATGATTGTCAAGAACTTTAGCCTAATAGCATGGTCTGACAGACAAAATACTGCAACGGGACTCAAGAAATCTCTGATTTGCCTAATGCGTTTGGTCAAAGGATAATCTCTCCCCTGTAAAATGGGGTATATACACCATTTCCCTGTTCATTTCACAACTATGACAGAAGCATTAATCACTTAATATCATTGTGCAAAGTTGTGATGAAGAGGACTGCAGTTTTGCCACTGAAGATACTTACGTAGTTGGAAGTAACTAATTTTTAGCAAAAGTCAAGCCTCCGGTTTAGAAATTTGTTATGGTTAACATGAGAGACTGTCAAAAACAGTGTTACGAAATGACACACACTGTCAACAGGTCTTCCAAATTCATCACGCAGGCAAGGCAACCTAACACCACCAAGAGTTCATTGCAGAATCCTAGGCTGAGATCCAGAGACCTGGAAGTAAGTCTAAAAAGCCATTTGGGGTCCTAAATACTGATGGTTTCACAAGTATTTTAGGTTCCTTGGTAAAAGGTGGGCACCTGAATCCCTGCTTCAGATTTACAGGTCTCCTCATTTTGTATTTGAAAAGCACCTACAAGTGGGGAGTTAAAGCTAGAAATCTCCAGGCTTTATTTGGACACCTCATAGTGACCCTTATAACTGAAACAAGAAGTCACTTGGAGGATCGTTCTGTTGCAGTTTGATGGTAACCTGAATGCCCTGCTTAGCCTGGGCCTCAACATACATCCCTGGTTTCTACTTTAAAGCAGGTTATTCAAGAACTCATTTGCACGAGACAAACTGCAAAAACTCCTGGCTTATTGCTCAATCAGTGTTTTTACACCTTTTTCACATAAATATATTCATTTGAGATATTTTAAGCTTCACCTTCCCTTACTTCAAGACTGAGTCACTGAACGTCTGGGGGCCTGGGAAGAATCTTAAATCTTGACTTGCTTCCAGCAACTAGAAGCTTCTATTGCAACACTTCAAGTCTGCCAAAAGAGTCTCTGACTGACCTACAGGGAAGCTGCCTCCTGCATTTAAAGCAGGGAGATTCATTAGCTTTCAACTGCTTATACTTTTCCTAGGAATAGGGTTTTAATGTAGCTGCAGTCTTCAACAATGGCAATGGCTGTTGCACGTTCTTAGTATTATGTCAAGCTATCTGTACTCATTCAATAAATTACATACTGAAAGCATTCTTCTTCTCTTCTTCATATTTGTTTTCCTCACCTTAAAAAACACAAGCACAGCACCAGAGGGAGACCACTGCTATTTGACAAATAGCATGCTGACAATATCCTGGCTGCAGCTAATACTGCCTTAACACTGAGACCTGTCACCTTACAACAGAAGTCCTAGTGATACTTCTCAAACCTTACCTTGCAGCAAAGTACATGAACTATTTGATTTGCCATGACAAGCTACGTGTAAAGACATAACTGAACTTTACCCCTTGTTCTTGGCAGATCTGAGTTAGTCTTTCCAGCTGCTCGTCTTGAATAACCTTTGCCTTCTCATATTGCTGAATCATCATCTCCATCTCCACTTTCACTGGAAGGACATAGGCTGGAAAACACAAATAAGCACTTAAAGTAACCCAGCTGTGATTTGTTTTTGTTATCAGAGGGAAAACCTTTACAGGCCAAAGAATGTCACCCCTTTCAGTTGCATCTAGAGAACTAGAGTATTTCTTACAGAAATAGCACTAGAGCGTTTCTTCTGGGGAAGGATTTCTAACATGTGAAATGCAGGTCATCAGCAGGGTCTAGATCTTGTTTGATCAGATCTCCATTTGCCTGGCTGAGCTGAAATGCATCCTGCATACTCTTCCTAGCTTCTGCTCCACTAATACAGATCTTTTCCAGTGTTTACCACAGATTTCCTGAATTGCTGGGTAGGAGGATTTTCTGCTTAGAGTTAGGCCCATCCCCTCTAAACCTGAACAGCACGACTCCCTTAGGAAAAGAACTGTTCCAGAGCCCTAAGCATTTAATTCCTAGACTTTGTGGTAAGAAATAAGTCCTTAATGGAAATAGCAGACTAAGAAGGATATTTTAAAAAACAAAAAGGCGTTTATCTTCTATTACTTTTCAAGCTACAGCCCAGTTTTCAATAGGTCTTCTGAACGCCTCTGGAAATTTTGCTCCTGTCTTAACTATGGCAAACGCAGACTGATCAGCAAAGCTGTTCAATGTGTATTGCAATTCTTGATGTTTCCTGAAGCTACACAAGATCCTGAACTTTTCTTGTACAGTTCAGTCAGTGGGCTACAATCTTTCCTCAATTCTGAATACAGAGTTTCCCGGGCATCTAAACCCAAAATAATAACTTGACTCTGATATTTCACACATGAGCAAAGTGACTCTTCATTTATTCCTTTTCCACCTCTTTTCCTTGTAACCTGAAATGCCTGAAACCACTGAACACGAAGTAGCCTACACTAAAGTCCTGGCTTCCGGCACAGTCACCGGTTCTGCTCTCTGCAACTTTGATTTGCTGGGGCTTTCTTATCTCCCCTGGTGCTTCCCCACAGAGGTCTGTGCAAAACAGTACCGATACATGCTTCATTATTATGCTGTACAACACACCAGCATTGCAGAGAGCACCTCCAGCAGGGAACCCCCATGGTAAGAAAATGCTCCTGGAATCTGACATAAAAATTGTATTACAGGCAAGAACTTGGAAAAGAAAGCCCCAAGACAGGGCTAGCTGTATGGAAATGGGGAGGGTGCAGCAAATATCAGAAAAGCAGATTGGAAGCAATTATTTTGCAGAATCAGGAATGACATCTGGTGGCACGAGACAGGAAGCAGGTCAGGGTATTTACTTTACAGGATGGGGGATGTGAAGGTGCCTAACAGAAAAACCAGCCAATCAATTATAAAGGCTCATAGGGAACAGGAGATACAGCCATGAACTTGAGACCTACTCTCCCCTCCATGGGAGTCATAACTGTCTTCTGTTCAATGCCTTTAAAATACAAGAGGTAGGAGAACAACAGAAACAGTGGTGGCAAGCTATCTTTTAATATTTTTAAATTCTCTTTTTTCCCAGCCTGCCAGGTAATTCTCAGAGTCACAAACTGAATCACCACTCACCATCAATGATCCTCTTCACTCTCCATATTCGTAGTGTGATAATAAGGCTGATAGCATCCCAGGGGCTGCTGGGGCCATTAGCCACTGTGGAGGCCACCATCGGTGCCAAGGACAAGATTATGACAGCACCATCAAACACCTAGAGAGAAATCAGTTTTTTCAAACCCTTCCTAAAGATCATAACCCCGCCATTCCTGCCTGGGGTCTTGAAGGGCTCCCACTTTGCCCAAAAGAGATGCAATTATGGTACATATTTGAAAGGGATATGAGAGGTGGCCAAGCCCCAGAAAGGCTGCATCCTTTTTAAGTAGCATAACAGAATTCCTTAGTGCATTTTACGAGGTGAGAAGAGATAAACTGTGGTGGGAGGGCACAGAGAGAGAAAGGTATTTGGAAATGCTGGCCAAATCCCCAAGCAGAAGTGATAGGCTAAATGCTATTACAGCCAAAGAGTTTTATTATCATTGGTATTTATTACCTGTTACTTGGCATAATGCCATCCCAAAAAAGGATACAGTCCCTGCCCATAGATCTTACTGTCTAAATGAAGAGATCAAGAAGACAAGTAGAAAAAGATGGAGCAAAGAGGCTTGATGGCTCTTGGCCACGTCCTGACTACACAACGTGTGTGGCAACAGCCATGCATCAAGACAGAAAGACTCCCTGCTCTCACCTTTATCGGGCAGCTAGGTTTTCAAGGATTTTGACAACCGGGACTATTCACAGTGATTTGTATAACATTGGTTGCATTGTGGATTAGATCAGAAAAGGCAATTGTGCGAAGTATTAGACAGAAATGCACGAATAAATACATTTCAGAGCAAACTGGCAATAGCATCATGTCTGTCCTACACTCGCTGAGCAGGGTAGAACAGAATACCATGTTCTCATTCCTACTGAGACCCTTCCCAGCTGTCAAAGACCATTGATTAATGATTTGCATAAGGAGGCAGGACATGGATTTTATAAGCACCACACATTCAGAATTGTGCATAACAATTCAGTGTATTGAAAAGAAACACTTCTTACTGTCACCATTTGATGGGCAGTGAACAATATCACTCCATCATTCCAAATTACCAAAATAAATTATCATCAGAAACTGCTGCATTTAGCCTCAATAAAAAGAATCTCCAGATCAATAATTTAAGTTTCACTTCAGTTTTTTAGCAAAACAAGTTAAAAGGTTTACAACTTCATTACAAAAATGTGCAAGCCTCTAGACTCACTAAGCTCTGGGAAAACCCAGATTTTCTTCTGGTGCATCCTGGGCAGTATTAGTTTATGAAACAGTATCAAGAAAGAGTTTAATTTCCCCAGTCTCCAGATTTCTGATCAGATTGGGATTATGCGTTACTTACAACACATGCATTTCCTTACCTGCCTCTGCAACAGCATACACAGTCTACCCCATTTTTAATTTGAGGGACAAATGACAGTATTTATCATAATTCAATTTAATTAAAAAATAATTTCACAATAAAATCGGGGGTTTTGCCAAACCAGTATTTTCTATCAGAAAACCGCACACAATTTTTCAACCAGTTCTAATTTCAACTTGATTATGGGAATGGGGTTACACCAGTCACATGACAATTTTTACTCATATTGCTCGTTATCTCAATAGCAGTATCAACAGTTAGACTAACACAGCTCTAACAACAAAATAAATAGACACACAGAGCAAAACCCCCACAATCCCTTCCTTAATAAAATAGTTCCAAATATCATACTCTTCTGAGTCTCTCTCAGAAAAAGGGACTGCATTATACAGCTGTGTATACATGCATATAATAAGAAGAATGTGCATATTTATCTGAGTTAAAAGATATTGTATTGCATCAGGTCTATAACAAAGCCACTCAAAGCCGTTCTTAATATTCTTACTGTGTCTGCCTGGAAAACAGTACAAAGAGTAAGAGTGCTTACCTCTATTTTGTTTTCAATGTAATCCCATATGCCAAGGACCACAATCCTCAAAATAGTCTAGTAAAATAGATTAGGGGGGACAAAAGAAGATGATGAATGTTATTGTAATTTTAGATAAACATTTAGTCCTTTATGTATATAGGGGATCACTTTTTGTCTTATTTAAGCATTATGCATTTCTTTTGAATAATAATGAGGATCTAGAAATAGCTACACTTCTATATTATAAAAGTAGGTATTGCTTTCCAAACACTATATTGACTCAGTGGAACTTCCATAAGCAAGTTCCAAGTTCAAATGTTCGTCAGTCTTTCCATCCTCCTAAAATTTCTTTTAGTCTTGTGAGATATAGATTACCAATCCTCCCCACTCCAGCCCCCTGACCCAAGCCTATATAAGATCCACTGTGGGGCCCCCTCAGTTGGAATGGGGGAAGATTCTCTTTTCTTGCCATCTTTGATATGCCAGTGCTTACTATTTTCTAAGAAAAGAAAAGAGGCACTGCCCCCCTTCTTGATGCCTAAAGATACTAACATTTCATCAATCTGAAGAGCAGAGGCTCTTATTCTCCCCCTCTGGAGTACAGGGCTGTTGTCTTATAAAATCCCAGAAAGTCATAGGATAAGGGAGAAAAATATCTCTGTGATCCTCCTCTATTAAGCAAAACAGCTATAAGTAGCATCAGTAGCTAGCAAAGGAATAAAGAAAGAACACAGAATGAACCAATGGTGAATTCCCATTAAAAAAATCCAATGGCATCTTTCCTAATTTTTAGCCCAGCTTTCAGAAGATGCAATAAAAAAAAATTAATCAACGAACTCATGATTGAAATTGAATTCACATAAAAGCATAACTGGTAAGGATGTCTTCTGCCAATAGCAACATCAAGGTCAGATTTTGACAGACACTACAGACATGACGAGTCTAACTGCAGCTGTGTGCCTTGCAAAGATCAAAATGCTACTTTCTCCATTAAAGAACAGAACTAATGACAGAGATCTCTGTAGGCCTATGTGTGAGGGGTGACCGTGCCAAGAACTGCACAGAAGAAAGCAAGTGACTGTGATGAATAGATGTATCTCCTTTTCATTAAAAATACAAATATATTAAATCCCAACCAACTGTGAATTTATGCCAAACATACCAGCGCTAACTAATTGCAGAACAGTACTGTTCCTATGTATAGTTTTGCCAAACCCCATGAGCCCAATTGCCTCACTTGGCCCAGCATGACTGTGCTGAGCTCTATCTTGGCACTCCAAACCTGGATAACGGCACTTAATCCTGTTTTGCAGAGAGAGACATTGCTGTGGGAGATATGGCGCTTTCAGAGCTCAGCCTCATGCCATCAATGAGCAGGAAAGTGAACCAGCCAACGCTTACTCAGAAATGGCGTACATGAAGCACTGGCCAAGTCTGGCTGAGAAAGGGAGTCGCTAGCCAGAAGAGAAAATGCAGCGCGTTCTTTCCTCTACAAAAACTTATGAGACTTTACGTAGACACCAAGAACTGCTAATGCTGCTGGTCTGTACTCCTAAAAAGAACATTTTACTTCCAAAGCACTTTACAAATGCAGCATAGGAATAAGGCAGCCATTTCCTTCTTAACCTATAAGCTTGAGGTTTATACGTTGAGGAAGAGATGCACAACAGCAGCTCCTCAAATCCCTTAATGACTCCAAAGTTGCCAGCATGATGTGATGTGATGTAAGCGCAAGGTGTAAGTACACATGCTGCTGTACAACCAAGGCACTCCTGCAGCCTCAACTCAGGCCCTGAGCAGAATACTTTCAGACAAAAGCATCCCAGCTTCTCTGTAAGCACGTCCCTCACTCCCCATTGAGAAGCTGCACAAAATGTACAAAAAGTACAAGTTACTCATGAGCCCATAGGTTCAGCTATATAAGTTAACCTGGGGTCCACCACAGCAAGTTCCACAGCAGGCAACCACTGGGAAATGCACGAGGAAAAGCAGTGCTTTCTTTAAAGCTTGGGATGCTGCTCTTCCTACAGCAACCCTGTTGGCAGCATAGAGAAATCTGGCTCATTTTCTTCTGCGCTTAGGCAGCATTTATCAAGTGCTAGGTCAATGAGCAACTAAAGGATGGCTGAACACCTAACATGTTCACAGTAACTGATGGTGAAAATCTCTCTTCCTTTGGACAGATGTGTACAAAGGCATTTTCACTTAAACAAGAAGGCATATGTGCACAAAGAAAATAGAAACACTGTCTCACAATCCTAAATATGATTTAACATGGGGCTGTTCAGGGAACATAAAAAAGGATTTTCCTTTCTGCCTTTTCGATTCCTAACTGCAGTGTTTAAATCAGACTGTACTACTGTCATATTAATGGGTCTGAGCAGTTTCACGGACTGGAAGCTAGCACAAATGTTTTCATTTTCAGTCTGCTGGTGTGAATCAGGACAAGTCAGCAATGACCAGAAGTCTACTCGGCAGACATTTAATGCAGTAATGGTTGTTGGTGCTACCTCCAGAAGACAGGTCTCCTCACAAAAATTGCCTTGATGATTAGCATCTTTGCTTTCAGCTAGAGCAGACACACTGTAGGAAGGGAGAGCATGAGGGCGGAATGAACCCAGCTCCCCCATCTGAGAGACACGCTCTTCAGAACAAACTGGTCACAACTTTAAAACTTTAAAAACATTTTTCTGTATGGAAGGTCTTAAAACTGCGCACCAGCATTACCCACCAGCTCGCCACTCTTAAGAAAAAAAAACCACATCACCACTGAAGTTACAAAAGCCATGTAAGGCAGCTTTTCCTTGGTGCCCTGTGCGAATTGGGTGCCCCAAGAAAGTACCATGAGTGAGTCACAGACTGTGTGCATCTGGAGACATAGATGCCGTACGCTCACTGCCCACTGGCCAGTCTTCACTCGTGGCAACTCCAAACTAGGTTTAGCTTTCTCTACTCTCCCTCTGGACGAAGCATGAGATCACATCCACTGCTGCTGCCATAACTCTTACCCAGAGGAGTCTGAACCAAGCAGATTTGACTTCACTCGGCAAATCTCCCTGACTGTTCAATATAATAAAGTACTTTGACTGAAATGAAAGCATTGGTGTTACTTATAAACAACATTTTATTATTTTTCCTAAGCAATCAAAAATATCTTTCAAATAAATAAATATTGCATTTGATTGTGTACTTTCTCTGTACAGAACTTAAAAAATGAGAACCTGTAGCAGAATCTGAAAAAAACAGAGACAGAAATTAATAACCCAGGAAACTTCCTACACCCCGTACATGGACCAAGCTGAAAAATGCATAGGAATTAAAAGAGAATTGCAACTGTAACATTCATCACAGACAAAACATAAGTGTTAGTCACGACTCTACCATTTGTAGACACAAGAACCTACAAGAAATAGGGAAAAAATTGAGCAGCACTTCTGTTTCCTACTGATGCGCAGGCATCTTTCAGCACTGTAGCAAATCCACACACATAGTTTTGCATTACACTACAGGCATTCTGCATTTTTGAACACATAAATTTGAAAGCAAACATTAAATACCATTGTGAGTACTTTTCTGTTAAATGCCACTGCCAGCTTGGTTTTTTGTACTTGAAAAAGAATGCTTTAACTTTTCTTGGCTGGAATTCTTTCAATTAGAAAGTCCTTAATATATATACTTTTTTAGTTATATCGGAAATTAATTTTTTGTTGTCTGAGAAAAGCTAAATTATTACATTAAAGTCTGTCCAGTGCACTAATAAAAGGTAGATGACTGAACACTTCTGTTTACTTCTTTAAGTTGGAGTAAACCCAGATAAAAGTAAAATTTTAAACCATTTTTCAGAAGTTGACAGTGTCCCTTGGTGACACACCGTTGTTTGTATAACATTAACTGTGTGCACTGAAGTTTATGAAGAACTGTGTGATGCTGCAGGTTTTTTCTCTGATTTTGTAGGGGAACGTGGCCAAGTCCTTTGCTGAGCCAGCCGTGTGAATTCCCACAATCTGCATGAGTTAGCTACATTCGTCAGCTGACTGCAATGTACATTAGGTAATTTTAAATACTTTTTTGCTTGCACAGTTAATATACAATTTACTGCTCAGTGACTCACTGTGCCAAATTCATCCATAGCGTAAAGAAATCAAAAGGAGGCAGCACAGGAGGTGAAGCTGGCCCACCAGGCTTAGCTAACAGCAAAGGAGAGCAACTCTGCATTTCGAGATGGGGTAGTGATTGTACAAGAGAGAGGCAGGATGGAGTGGGGTGGAAAGGGTGTCTTTAGAAGAGCCCTTCCTTCCTTCCACTGCCACAAAACTATCTGTTACAGAGGGTCTTTACCTCTGGCTTGTACAGAAACTCTGAAGATTAAGCTTCTGCCTTGTGGATGTATCTCATAAGACCAAATATTTATTGAAATCTTTCCCAGAAAGAACATCTTGTACCCAATCTGTAATTTATAACCTCTCTGGTTTGGGTCACTCCACAGAGGCCTTAGCTCATTCACTACTTAAAAGAATCTTCTTTTGCCATCTTCTGGTGTGCCTGTGCTGAGACACCGCATTAGCTGTTCTAGCGCACGCTGTCCCCAGGCCACCAGAGCATGGAGCAACGTGTTAGCATCTTTAAACTGAGACATCGTTCCGTTTCCAGGGCATAGGCATCCTCCTCACATGGCTTCTCTTCAATCAAGGCTCTGAAAGGAAATGTGTAACTACGGACCTCACCTCACATATTACCCAGTACAAAACACTCCCCGTGTACTGTACTCTGTAACTGCTGTGGCTCTATTGGCACATGTGGTTACAAAGAAATAATTAACTGCAAAAGCTTGGTGACACTAATAGACATGAACACAGTACATTCCTTTTCACTGACTACTGCTAATACTCTATTATGATACCGGGTAGTATCCAAATGCACCTTTGCATAAACACTGCAGTTATATTTGTTCTTATGTTCTCCTATAATATTTGTTCTTAAAAACGTGGAGAAAAATAATGAATTTTAAACTGACCACTCTGGATAGATTTGAAAGGGCTTTTCAGGAATAGAAATGGCTTACTAGAGACACAGTATACTACCCTAAGGTAAATGCAGATTAGATAGAAAACTGGTCTTAAGCAGCCTTGCATCAGAAGTTCCCTCTGGGCACGATTACACTAGCGCTAATTCTTATCTTTGAAATGCACCGTGTAGAAGGTGCTGGACTGTCACTATCAAGAGATGAAAGCACAGATGAAGCACTGATAGAGCACACCATATAAGTCAGGTATATTCTTGGAAATGAAATGGGCAGACCGGCATTCCAGGAAGGTGTCTAGCTAAATTCCTAGACCTCTACAAAACCATTTTCCCTGGTAACTACTTTTTTTGTGAAGCAAGAAAAGTGGTTAGAAAAGAAATTTCATGGTATATTTTTATTTTTTTACACACTGGCAAAGAAGGAAGCTTAAATTTACCTTTATAAATTATATTAGCATGTAAAATCCATAACTTTGTTCCTAGATGCCCTCTAATGAATCCCTTTAAAAATCAATACACAGCCAGCAATGCACTGCATTTATGCACCATGAGAAAAGTTGTGTGTACATGGAATGAAAGCAAACACCCAGAAAAGAAGCCACAGCTTATGGAAGAATTACAGAATTCATAGAAGATTATTATCTTTCCGCTCAGCTGTTTGAAGCTCACAAAAAAATGTAACAAAAGTAACACAACTGATTTATCTAATATAAAATTATGAATTTGTTATGAAAAATTTATACGGGAAGGACATTATTTTCTCTTAGTTCTGTCATTTTGGATATTTTTTCCTTTTTAACAGAACCCTAATAGTAGGGTCTTTCTTCGTAGGTTTTATTCCTTCCAAGGATTGCTATTAACAAGGACTAAAGCATCACACTACTGTGAACACTTCCTTTTAACACATAGGATGAGGAAAGTCTTGGTTTTTTTCTTTCCTCCTAAAAGTGAAAATCTAAAATGCACTTGTGAGCCACAGCTAATGAAACAAAGTCTTTATCAGCTAGGACCCCAGACTTACTCTACTCAGTTTGAGAACTCATTTCTTGGACATAGATGCAGGAAAAAAGTTGCAATTCCATGACTGCCTAACTTTAAGCACATCAGAAGACTTTGTTACTCCCAGGGAAACATTCAAAGTGCTGAAAGCTAGCAGAATGCCTGAGTGCTTGGCTGACTGAAGCACATACAGAGCAATGCAAACAACTAATATCAAAAAACTCAATTCTTGCACGCAAACAGTCTCATCAATCTTAGTGGAAAAGCAGAACTGAACAACAGCTACAGAATTAAATATTTGTGGCAATGTGATAAGACTATTAAAATACAAGCAGACTACAATCCACTTACCAAAACACTGTGATATTCCCCATCTTCCTTTTCTCAGCCAACTATTACCCAGGCTGAATTTGCCCTCTTGATAGGGTGTAACCCCGGCCTTGCCTTGCTGTTGGTACTGGGGTTTCCCCCCAGTGTCTTTCTCTTCTCTTCTGTCTTAACATCTGGGTAACATTTGGTGCACAGACAAATCATAGTGATGTATGTAAACAGAGACAAACATATACAGTCATCACCACTAGTAAATCCTGTTCAAATACTTGGAAAAAGGCAAAAAGAGCTGATGTGCACTTCACTTGAATAAGGGTATTTTAACGTGGAAAGTCACAGACAGTGACAGAGAATATAAAATTATCAGAGTGCAATAAATTCCTTTAAGGCTTGTGGCTCTAACACAAGTGTAGAGAGAGCAGGAATATGCTGTGAGAGTAGTTACTTAATTTTGTTGGCAGCTGTTCTGCTGGCATTTGCCAGCTGCTGGCATGTTTGTCCGCTTCATTTTAACCAAGCAGAAAGCCAGTGCCTGTTTAACTCCAACATGATAGGACTGTAATTACTTGCAATGCCTTTATAACACTAACTTTTAATCAGTCATATTTTTCCAAAACATTCAGATTTTGTGTTGAAAGTTTTCTGGTTTTTAACAAGTCTTTTACAACTTTGTATTATTTGTTCTGTAAGTCTGAGTTGAGGCCTTTCTGAAGGATTATGTATCCACACTTACAACTAATGGGAACCAAACTACAGAATAAACAATAAACATCCAAACTTAGGACATGGTACTTGCTATGGAAACAACCCTTTCTGAACACCAGAAACCCTGAATCCTTGCTTTGAGGAAAAAGGCACTGACTAAAGTACTAATCAATCCTCAAGCAGTTGCCTGTTATATCCAAGCAAACTAATTAAACTTGCTTATCTCTGGAAAATCATCCTGAACGATGATGAATAGTCACAGACTGCAAAATTTCACTATAACACACAATGTTATCAAAAACTAATTCCAAACAAAGAGAGCTAATTCATGGTATTGGGAATCAGATGGCAAAAAATCCTCTGAAGGCACCAAAAGAGTACATAAAATTAAGATGGATGAAAAAAAAAAATTTCTGTGATCTGCAATTTTTGCAATATTTTGTAACCTCTTGAAAAATCAAAGTTTTTTATTTGTATGAGAAAAAATTAAACCCTCTGTTTTTCCTCTGATGAGACGCATTTCAACACAAACAGACATGCTGTTGCTCATTAAACCAACCTGGCACAAGGCCAACCGCAGCAAACCCAGTAGCAAAGGTACACCTTCATTCTCTTCCAGATCTGAGGTCTCTGAAGCACATCCAGTTGCTCTGTGGAGCCATCTCTGTTGCTTTAACCCAGTCAAGGACTCTGAGCGCTAAATGAACGAATATCCCCAAATCTACCCTCCTCTGTACACCTTACATGGCTGCCTTGTGGCCTCATTTTTCTTTGGTGTAAATTCAAACCAAATAAGTGAAGGAAGATACTTTGGAAGACAGAAACAGATAATAAAGTGAGTGGTAGGAGGTTTATAAAAAATTAGAACAGCAAGTAGACAAAGAAAAGTAGTTCCAAATACCTAATACAGAGAGAAGGAGAAAAGGCAACACAGATCCAAAATGCAGATGGTGAGTCAGGCAACCAGTTTTGGCTCTGTGAAGTATTTCTGTTATTGTTTTCCTGCAAAACACTTCTGAACCAGTTCATCCACTTATGTGGGTACTCTGTCTCAGTAGAACTGAAACAACTAATTTCTTCCTTGAGACAGATGAGTACTGGCCTTAAGGACCTGTCTGCACTGCCACAACCAACCAACCAAAAACCATCAGCGTACGAACTCAGCTACGGAAGGGGTACAGGAGCAAGGCACTGCATCAGGGTTTGAGAAGAGTGGTTGGTGGTATAAGTGAAAGAAAACAGAACTTGAGACTACACCCCAGCAGAAGGAAATTGAGGACCGCAGAAGTTTTTCGTGAAACAAGCTCCAGAAAGCGAAGACGACTAGGTATGCGTGCATGTGCAGCCATGCTGCTAGCAGCAGAGTTACAAGCTGATCCTGTTGGAAAGCTCAGGATTACAGGGAGCTCCAGGGTGCTAGTCCCCACTGAAGAAAGATTCTGGGGGAAAGGGGAAAGTATTTCTTTACAGGGAATGGACTCCATCTAGCAAACCTGAGCCTTCAAGAATTAGGATGTGCAATTCACAAAGGAAGGACTCTGCAAAATTTTTTAATTGTTTAGAGATTTTTTTTTCCAGTCAGTCTACATGTATCCTACAATCCACAATCACCATGGGGAAAGTAATCATATCTATTTGTGTAACTGCTGCACCAGAAGGCTAGGATACAAAGCAGTCTTCAGATCCCTGCCTGTTATCAAGGAACCCTTTCAGAAAGTACGCACTGACAGTCTGGCAACACCAGCTAGAAAATCCCTGCTACAAGTAGAAATATAAAGTAGAAATACAAAGTGATATATGTAAATAAATGTATTTAATTAATAGAACCATGGAAATAAGCAGTGGTATAATATAGCGAGTATGAATTCAACACAAGTGATCTATCAAATCATTCGCAGGTATCACAGCTCCTGTTTTTTGATTTTTTTTTTTTTTTGTAACCTTCACCCAAGTTTACCGCAGAGTGAAGACTTTAACATCTGTTTGGATGACAATATTTTCTCCTATGAAACTAGAGAAAATATTTTAGAATATTTAAGTCCAAGCTGTCTTCCAACTTAACAAACATAAAATGTTTTTTGTGACAAGTAACACATTATGACCTGGAAAAACAGCCTTAAAAATATTTTGGGGTATTTCAGGAGTAGTCTAAATGTCTCAATACCAATGACTTCTTTTTGGAATAAAGTTGAAAACTAGAACAGATTATCCCAATTCGGTCATTTGTTATATCATGACTACAGCCTTTTCCAATGCATACATTCATACAAATTTTTGCAAAGAAATTCACCATTTGTTTCATTCTCTTACTATGTCTATATGCAGCAACCTAGAACCCCTAAACTACCTACATAAACCGTGAAAGGAGATAATTCCATGCTTAAAACAGATCTTTTTGTAAAAAAACCTGTGGATCTTTATTCCTGAAGAATATATCTTATTCCTATACCTTATACCCAGTGACACCAATAAGATTTCTGTGAGAACAAATGGATGAAACTAGTCCTGTCCTGTGCCTGTAGTGCTTTGGAGATGATTATTTCTTTTTGTAGTTTTGCAATTATAATTTGTAAGACAGTCTCTTCCATGTTTCCTTGCCAATTCCAGGCAACCGACAAACAGCGCTAATCTAAACAAGATTTTGTAATTTGCTCAGTAGGAGCGGCAACTGTTAATTTTTCCTTTTTTTTTTTTCCTTAAAATACACTGTGCTACATTTATTCACAGTCAAACTACTGTTAAACTCTTGCTAATTCTAGTGACAGCATAAAAATACTTTGCAGTTCAGTATGTGGTGAAAGACTTTGATTATACATACCTCTGAAAAGAAAACAGACAGGATGACTAGGCTGATCCAGTGAATTATTCCTGCAAACTGTGAAGCACTTGAAACTGCAATTAACACAATACAATGAAGCATCATTATAGTAGCAGAATGCAACTTACGTTTAATATAACTAGTACTGCTACAGCTTACATATGGGTGAAACTTTCTTTCTTGAATTTTGTAATGGAAGTACCAAAAAGGGGATGGGATGTAATGGGACATGGAACTCCAGCCCTGTAAGCTGCTAACCCTAATTCAGGCCAGCATGTTAGCAGCCGCAGCAGCTGTTCATTGGAGCTTTTACATATAAGACTGCTGGTAAGCACTGACACACACATTTTAGGTCTTTGATGCTCTGGCACTGCTCCATGCTCTCGCTCCATGCACTGCTTTAGTACGAGATGTATGACTAAACCCTGTATACCTAAAAATCCAGAGTTAGAATTCTGTAAGGAAACAGAATGCTCTACTATCCCCACATTATTCCTTGTATTCAGTCTTTGACAATTCAGCGCAGAAGATCAGTAGTTAGCTGGAACAGGTGCTTAAAAACTAGTGCTCAAAGTAGGCTTTGAAATACATTTGTATCATCTAAATAAATAACCTAGATAGGTAGACTTTTGTACAGCTCTCCAGATGTGGCATGAACAGCCACGACTAGCTCAGAATCCCATTCCTCTCACAGTCAAGTTTGACTCTAGGAAAACCATAGTGAGACAAGCAACAGAAAGAACCAATGTCATTGTTAATAAGATCAAATCTTAATATATTAATTTTAAGGAGTTTGTGAAATATCAGCAATTCTAATTTGTACAACAAACATAATGTGACTATTTTTTGTACAGTCTGTTTCAGGAAACGTGTCTGTCATATGGACAGCTTTGTCTTTAAGCAAGTTTCTATGAGAACACTCAAGAAAGTTACAGTAAATGAAATAAAATTCCAGTTTAAGTAATTGGTTAAGACACACGATTTCCTTTGTAAGCACTCTTTTTCAGAAAGACAATGACAATTAAAATCACTTATGTTCATTTTATTTTAAACTTCTTCATGAAAAGAAGTCTGTAAAGGGTAAGTTAAAATGGTAATTCATGAAACTCTGGATTCTACACACTGACTTCCCACATAGGTGCTCTTTATGCATGCAGATTGTTGAGGCAGTTATTCCACTTTCAAAGTGGAATGACTCTGAACAAAAGTCCTTTCAGGAACTGACTAGCAGGAACACTCGGGAAAACTTATCTGAATTCATTAAAAGTATGGTTTTACAGAGTACTAAAGCCTTGCACAGACACTCACTGGCATTAATCAGACTTTCATTTGATTCAAATTATTTTGCTTGTAAGCAAAATGAAATAAACTCAGACAAATGAGTTTGCTGCAAGACTACATAAGAAGCCCTATGATATGGGTTGTCTTTATGGGCCTAAATGAATCTCTTGAAATCTGGAGGACTCCTGAATAAGTAAGTTCAACTGAAATTCTGTCATCAAAGTTCCCTTCATTGCTGACAAAACAAAGCAGAAAGCTGAAAGTGTCCAGTATCTAAACTGCTGGCAACTCCCACTCTAAACGTCACATACTCTGAAGTTTGGAATAAGGGAATGAAGAGAAAAAATTCTCTCTTTACTTCAGGGTATTTGTGAATCTACCATCCCTACAGCAGACATTAAAATAGCCTGTGCGGTCTTGCAGTTTCAAAGAATTATTGTGTAACAGCAAAGTTTAAGGCAATCGATGACTGTGCACATAGAGATGCAAGACTGTGGTGGAATTAACTAAGTCCCAAGAACACACAGGGCATGCAGTAAATAAAGCGTCTCATTTTAAAATTAAAACTGATTAAAATGGGAAGGGGAGGGAGAGGATGTAGGAAGAAATCACTATACAAAGAAAACTGTTAGTATGGGCTGCCACTGGAACTCTTACAGCTGGGACTTATTGAGAGAGGGTTTGCTGTGGTGCAGCAGAGGAACTACTTAAAGATGAAACAAATGGACAAAATATAATATATTTAACCTTCCCAAGACACTGTCTCTATAGGGTGGCATAAAGAACAAGAAATAGAAACCATTTGTAAGCTGTTTTTCAGCTGTCAATTGACATACAAGGCTCCAGCTGCCCCTTAGTGGACAAAAAAGATATAGCAACCACGAATTTGGAAAGAAAATCAATTTCTGATGCTGCACTAACTGTAGCAGAGTGCTGAATGCACTGCCAGATAGCGTGCAATTAAATTGCCAGTAAAACAGTACATTTGACAAAGCCTTCCAAGCAACAAGCATTTGTACAAGAGCTGAATCACTAGCCCATACACTGAATCTGGATATTTGCCTCTTCCAAAACACTCTCTTTCAAAAATGCAGTGAAAGGTTACAAAAACAGGAGAAGCGTCTTCTCCAAGAGGTGCTCATCCCTGCTTTGTGGTGGTTCAGATACATCCCTGGGATTCAGTTTGAGGCAAAGCACCTAAGCTATTCAGTTTCTACTTTTATCTGGAACAGAATTTCACATTTGTTGAACTTGTAACCTTTTTCCCCCCCAAATTGTAGCTAAAAGCCAAAAAGTTCTGCTTTATTTCACATTTTACTTGTCTGGTGCTATGAGGAAGAAGTGAATGCAAATCCAGATGCTTTTTAGTCATGAAGAAGATAGTGCAGTATAAAATGCAGAGTACAGCCAACCTCAGTCTACCTCCTCCCCCTTTCCCATCTCCTCAAAATGTATATCCAGGAGGGGAGGGATGAAGAACACATCCTGACAAACCCTGTGTGGCCATTATAGAAGCTTGTACTACAAGCGCTTGCTTTCAGTGGATGTTGTTCTTGATGATGATTTTCTGGCAGATACAAGCTATACTGCTTCTGTAAGGAGCAGATGCTCACTGTACGGTTTGGGCAAGCCCTGAGCCTGTTCTTACTGAGGCACTGCTGCACGGCAATGTGCGTTTTCTTTGCACAGCTATGCATGTACTCAGACAGGGCCCTGATCCAGCAACCAAATGGACAGGAGCAGAGCTTTTCAGCTTCACACTTTTCAGGAAGGCCTGATGCCTTTTACAGATGCACCTGCTGTAGTTGATCGCAGAAGGAGGGCGATACTAAGACGATCTCCTGAGTCGTTTTCCCGCAAAACTACTGAAGATGAGGGAGGAACAGCATAGCCTATAGTGCTAAAGAGTGAGGCTTGGAACCTGCCATGACCATCTTGTTTTGAAATGAGGTGCAAGTGACGTAGTCTACATCTATTTCTGCATTTGCAAAACATCACAAGGTATTGAGACGTTATTTTGTTAATGCATGTGAAGATAGGACTAAAAAAAGCCTATTATAGGACAGAGACCTATAATAAAAGACCTTTATATGTCCCCTGTTTTCTGGGGTTTCTAATTCTGGCATGAATACGCTTTGTGCTAAAATACCATAAAAGGTCTCTGTCCTTTTCATGTGTGTGACCTACACATTTGCAAATGTAGTTTGCATCACTGACACTGACAGTTTTGTGTATGGGAGACGTGCACAGTGCAACCAAAGACTGCACTAAAGGTATAAGAGGACAATGATGCTCTCAAAATGTCACAGCCAAAGAAAACACCTGTTGTTTTTTGTTTTGGTTTGTTTGTTTGTTTTAAAAAAGGAGGCTTCCTAAGTAATTACAGTCTATAATGTGGATTAGCAGTTGTTATTATGAAAAAAATTGGCAGTGATGTGCCATAACATATCCTAATGCATTGGTTGATTTCATATACAATAAGGAATCATTTAAAACTGCAATTACATTTTTGAAAAACATAATTATGACCTAATGGCTTTTTAAAACCTTAACGTAAGTGACACGCATTCCTCATATAACACAACTGCTATACTTATATCAGCCCCACCAAGATAGCCTTTACCCAATTTAAAACAAAATAGAACGTATTCAACTTAACAAAGGCAAGAAGCCTGATGGGTTAATTCATGAGTTAAAATACCAAGTAGCAACACAGAGCGGAATGGGTCCTTTCTCAGGTGCTGAGAAAATTCCCACAGGCAGGGGCAGCCTCTGAACAGTGAAGTCACCTGGCTCCACCAAACACCTACAGGTCATGCACAACGTGTATACTGCAGAGCTTTTAAGAGTATCACATGCACTAGACACATGGAGGACGAATGATCCCCAAAATAAAGCCTTCTTTAGAAGATTCTTCAGAAAATAAATGGTAAGAAAGCAGGTGCTTCCAGAGGAGAGTCTCCAAAACTGTGTTAAAAATCTAAGAGAAATCAACAGAAACAGTTTTTAAACTCTTTGGCTCTACAAGAAGTGGCAATTCTCTACATGAAGAAAAAGATGTAGGACCTCAATAAATATTGTTGAAAGCTTCTTCCTCATTCAGTTTTTAAGGACTTACACCATTTTTTTGAAGGCAGACTTGCCCAAATTCTGGGCTTCCGCATCCAAAACAGTAAGTCACCAGAGACTACAGAAAATAACAACTGTAACGGAGTGGCCATGCTCAGGACAGTGTGTGCAGTATGGACAGACAGGGGTGTAAATGGTGGGCAGTGTGGAAAGACAGCTTAGTCACTTATTCATCTTATAGTGTTTATAAAATGGCTGCAATTATCGATGAAGTCCCCTAAAGTAATCTTAATGCAATTGCAATACCTTAATCTTTACAGTGAAATCTAACTCCACTAATATCAATTGACAAATCACAAAAATAAAAGGACTTCAACAGCATAAAAAAATCCATTTGCTCAGTTTAAAGTTGCCATAGTAGATACCAGACCATGACTCTTTCATGCTATGTATTCTTGCATTTATGGGACTGTCTGAACTCCACTGCCATTTCAACATATCTGAGATTGTACGGAGATGCTAGAGGCTGCTCTTCAACATTTAGCATAGGGAAAAATGTAGCTGGTATTTGTGTTCATGTCAGCTTTGTACCATAAAAGCAAAAAAAATAAAAAGGGGGGAATGGAGGAAAAGAGCAGTAGGAAAAAAAAGATGACTTAGGAAACAAAACAGCAGCATTAAAATTTCCATTGTGGAACCTGCGTAGAGTGAATTCAGATAAAACAAAACTCCATTTAAGCTATTATTTGACTCCCAGTGTATTAGCAAAGTAGAATGAAAATCTGCATCATTTCAGTGCATTGCAAGATAGAAAACCAGAATTTCAATTCCTACACATCTCAGTAGAAGTAAATTAATAATAGATAGTACCAAATACCCTAGCAAGTTCACTTGCTAGATCACTTCCATCTATCCACATGCATGTGAAAAGTATAAGAGATTAATGATGCACAAATTATCTTTCTTCTTTGTACATGGAGCATGTCTGTAAGGGACAGACCTTTTCAACTACTAATGACAATATGTGCGGATCTCTGCATGCACACTCTGCTTGTATCCTTTGAAAATTTGTCCTATACTGAATTTGGTCAGCAAAATAAGGAAGAGACTGACTTCACTATACCAGGGTTCCACAAAAACACATTTCTTACCTAGCCTAGTAATCATTTAAATGGTAGGAAAAAAAAAAAATCCCCACCATCCTCCCCCCTTCAAAAACCTCCCAACAAGTTAAGCCTTTATATTATCAAAATTAAAAAAAAAAAAATAATAATCCTCCTACTCACACTGGAGAAGCTTTATATCTATTAGGAGCTCCAGAGTCAGAAGAATCACCACCAATACTACACAGGCTACCAGGAAACTGTTGAGACTTGCACTGAGCAAAAATACCTGCCACACAGCTGCTCGTCTCCCACAGCACGGTTTTAGCCAGTTAGATCTAAGGAAATAAAATTAAGAGGGAAAACAAGAAAAGAAAAGAAGTGAAAAAGGAAGAGAGCTGAAGAGCAGTGAACTCAAAATTACAAGTTCTACTGTTATGGATACACTCAGCAATACTGCACAAAGACTTTGCAAAACTCACTTTCATTGGCTTTGTTTCTTTACCAAGAAAAACACTTCACAAAAAAACTTCACCCTGGGGATGTTGTGCATCTCTCCAACCCTCTGGAGCGTACCAGTGTTCAAGTGCCTTCCAAAGCACTGAGTAGCACAACCCTAATGTCATACATACTTTTCTACTTTCTTCCTGTCTTACTATTTTTCATGTGTTTTTATTTTGACATACATGCTGCATTCACTTATCTGTGAGTAGCAAGGCCTGGCAGGACTCTGCTATTAGGTTAGAAGCTAATGATGTTTTTTAAGAATTTCTCTGCTATTGAATTTTATGGTCATGCACCTTTATCCCTGTTCTAGTATGAGACAAATCAGGTAAGAGCTGCTGAATTTGGTTTACAACAATCAGTCCATGACATCATGGAAAAGAGCAACAGGAATCTGGAAAACACCAAAGAATAAGCTCAGTGACTCCACAGCTACACCTATACTAGCAAATATACACAGCCTGGCAAAGTGTCAAGTCACTGGCCAAGGCTGTCTAACTTGCCTATTTGTCTGACTCTCACCAATCTGTTTGTGGACCAGGCCAAAAAGGACTTTCCCAGAGGTTGGAGTAGCACAGTTTTGGGGACAGCATACACCAGGGGCTGCTCCCAAGCCTAGTTTAGATGAGGTCACCTTGGTTTGGAGGAAAAAGAAGGTTTAGGGAAGATGAAGGGAGCTGTGAGGAGGCTACGAGGACCAGAACTCTGGAAGGAAGTTGATGAATCAGTAAATGTTGCTCTAGTATTGTGCTAATGTAGATACACATTTTCAAGTGGATTATTAAAAAAATCATTTTTTCTTTTGAAAATATTTGTAATAGGAATAACAATAGCATGGACTTCAGAAGCATAAAGCCCATTCTGATACTTTTTTTCTCCTAAAATCCCCCCATAGTTTCACTTTGATACAGTATAGTATCATTTCTCATCCCAGTGTTTTGTAATACTCTTGTACTGGCCCACCTCTGAAAGTTCTGATGCTTGCCTGACACTTCATATTTTCAAAGCACTGCAAATACACATTAGCTAATAAAAAGCTGACATGATTTATTAACTAAGGTTTAAGAAGCCGAAAGCATACAGAAGTGTGGTGCAGTAACTGCACTGTCTGAACTAAAATATTGATACACAGAAATCATAGAATCATTTAGGTTGGAAAAGACCTTTAAGATCATCAAGTCCAACCATTAAATCAATGGTATACAAGAAAATATGATGATACTGATCAATTCCAAATAATTGGACAGCTCTAGACTCAATAACTCACGTTATAATCAAACACTTGGAAAAACATCGCAAAACATTCCCTGACATACCCACACTCAAAAGTGTGGGAGAAAGTGATGCTAAGCAGTGCTCAGAGACTTGACACTTTCAAGCAGCTTCTCAGAATTAAGCATATCAACTAAATACTTATACTCAGATTGCCTGATTACCTGACCGTAAAAGACCTCCTCAATTGACTCTTAAAACTTCAGAGAAGATTTGACAAGTGTTACTATCAGGAACTTGCCCTTAGTTTAACTTTGTTATGGTTCTAGCATGAATACAGAATGCACTAGATTTTAAATAGGTAATTTTAAAACATAGGGAAAAAAAGGCATTGAAATAAGGGCCTTTCTGCAAACTTGATCTTTTAATGGATTTTATTTTACATTGTCTCAAAACAGGATAGCTTGTTTTTACTGCAACTGTTATTTGGGGGGGGTTTGTTGTTGGGTTTGGTTTTTTTTGTTTTTTGTTTTTGTTTTTTTTTTTAGGTCTTTCTAAAAATAATGCTAGGGAATGGCCCTGTTTAAATAGAACAGGTTTTAGTTCTATTCTCTTTCTACATTTATCTTCCCTTTTCCAGAAAGACCCATTTTGGCAGCATTTTAATATTGCAGGGCAGTTTTTCCTCTTTCGTGTTCTCAGAATGATCAGTAGAGGGCCTAAGTACATTCCTTTAAAAGCTCTACGTAGTCAAGATTTTCAAATATACCAAATGTACCAGTAAGAATAAATCAACTTAGCACACATTACATATAGCCACGATAATCATTATTCAAGCTAATCGTTACTTACAGAATGCTAAAGAATGTGGAGTTATTCTGTCCGTGCAGTACTAATATTCCACTGATTCCAAAAAGCTTCTGAACAAAACTATCATTTACGATTGAAAAAGCAATCAAGCGCAGATCATCTGCATATTTACACCTATATATCACTTATATAAACTGATTTCAAAAAACACAAAAGTGTTTGAAATTTAAGCACTGAAAAACCACCCCCAGTTTCATCTCTTAATTTATTACACCAAGGTGCATTTGTTCAACACTTGTCCTGTGAATGGACAGTGATTAGTGTCTTCACATCACTGCGTAGCAGATCTCTTCCCAGACCTCCTCCAAGTCCTCTGAATCCACTGGCATTAACAATCACATTGTGCTCTAGAAGGAGCACTGGATGGTTTCTTTCCTGGGTGCTGCTTAGCTAGCTCATTCCCTGCTACTTCTACACTCCTGTATAGTACAGTCCTGATCTTGCCTTCGGTTGTGGTTTTTTTGGGTTTTGGTTTGGTTTTTTTTTCCTTCTTATCTCTTGTAAAGGATGGACATAAATAATAAAAGGAACTATATAATTCAACTAGAAATATATTTTAGATAAACCTGTTGACATGCTAACCACACCGACTCCTAATCCACAAATCTCCTCCTCTCCTTCAGTCCTGTAACTTGTCTCAGTAGAGTAGCATCTCTCCCTGCTGATGTGTAAGGGCTCATCCATTCAACAGATGAGAAATCTGGTATTTGAGAAAAACAAATCCCTACCAGAATTAGTGTGGGTTTAAACTTACCTTCCAAATCCTGGCCATTTCCCCTGTGATACTGCAAAGCTACACTAAGTTTAAAGCTCAGATTAGAAACTCAGCTACACAGACCTTTCAAAAAAATAAAAGTTAACTTACACAGCTCATAAATTTGTGAAGAGATTACATACTAACCAGATACAAATAAAATATCTTTTTCCCTCACTCCAGACAAAAAAAAAAAGTGCCCTATTTTGTTCAGAACAAGTACAACTTTTGGTGTCCTGACTGTGTTGTCCGTGGATGCCATGCACTATATGGATACAAGTAAAGTATGACTTAGGACAACTTTACTGTGTGACTTCAAACAAGTTCATTAGGTACCTCAGTTACTCCATCTCTACAACAGGAATATTGTTTACCTTTCTTACAGTGACTCGATAAAGTAAATAAATGTACTACCATGGGAATTTCTTGGTTGATGGTGATGCAGGCCTGTAAAGTTTTGTTATGAGCCATTAAAATACATTTAGCGGAATTTTACCAGGTTAATTCTTTTTAAAGATACTTTCACACAGCTTTGTGGAAAACCAATCTGTCATCATCACTGCTAGTTTTATTAATAAACAGCTTGGAAAAAAGAACATAAGGCAAAACTGGGAAAGGTTTAACATATTTACTTGGTAAGGAACCACTACAATCAATGTGTTCAAGCTGTTAACAGCTGTCACTGTTTCTATTTCCTGGTCTTGCAAACAAATACCCCAAAATCTGATCTGAATTATACCTTACTCTGTCCTTTTTTTTTTTTTTTTTTGGCTCAAGAGCAAGTGTTTGCATCTCACAAGATGGCTATGATCAGAAAACAGAAGGATGGATGAGATCCAAATCACTATCTGAAGGAGTAGAAAGGCCATAGTCAGGAAGTGACAGGAACACAGAAAGGCTAAGTAACAATACAAATCTGGCTGAGACAAAACAGACAGCAGAGCCTCACAGCAGGCTACAGGTAGCAGCTGGAGGCCTTGAGCAACTCCCAAGGAACAGATAGAGCTCTGCACCCCTTTCCTGGACTTCTCCTACAAGCTTAGTTTAACTACAGAACTTTGAGAGCAGCCTCATCCTTTTTTTCCCCTAAAAGTTTTACTATTTTGAACCCCATGACATTCCTTGGAGGGCTGCTGCAAAACTCCCTTGCTCAAATGGCAAGAAAGATTCCCCAGTTTTCTGCCTAAACTCACACATGGCCAGTTTATACATATCTGCTCTTGTGCCAATATTGTTCTTTAGCTTGATTAGTTCTTTTTCCTTGCTGGCACTTTGTCCGTGATGCATGTATACACAGCAATGGCACCCCCTCATTTAATTTAATTAAAGCCCATGTTTTTTGTAAAACTGACACTCAGCTTCTATAACTGTCCTAGTAGTCCCTTCTGCATGTGAATACAGACTACTAGAGCAGTACATAATATTTTGGAATAGGTTTAATTACATGAATGCTTCCCAGGACTATTTCAAGTATTTTCTGCTTTCTAGGATCATTTGTGCCTTCTTCATAGACATCCTGTGATTACCTGGTATATTACTCCTCTCATTAGAAAATTGCTTACTGCGCTTTTCCTTTTTATGCTAAGGTCTTTAGCAAAATATTAACATCATGCACAAAACCAACCTTTAAGAAATGTAAGAACAGCCATACCAGGTCAGAACAAAGGTTTGGTATCCTGTCTCCAACAGTGGCCATGACCAGATGTCTCAAGATGAGTAAGAACACAGAAAACATATAATACTTGCCCTTCAAACTCCCACAGCATCCAACTATTTTGAACTTGGTGACTTCCTGAGACAGATGTAGTTTCTCAGATTCTACTTAGTAACCTTCAGTGAATTTCTCTTCCACAAACTTGTCCAATCTCCTCTTAAGGCTAGATAAGCTATTAGCAGCCACATACCCTTTAGAAAGCAGTTCCACACATCTACTGCCCTCTGTGCAAAGAGCAACCTCTTTTTGTTTATTTTGAACTGGGCCTTAATCTATTCATGTAC